ATAGGGAACACACACCGAGGGATGCCCGTGTTGGCATTGCATGCAGATGGGGAATACCATTTTCTCCCTGGTGACACTGGAGGGGCCAATGTCTAGTATAAAGCGTGGTGTGGTTCGTGACACATTATAAGCACTCAGTAAATATTTATTACATAGATGGATGACCCGCAAAGATGCTAAGTGGACCAAAATCTCCTCCCTCCATGGAGTTAATCTGTAATAAATCAAGATGTTTACCTGAGAAGATAATCTACAGAGAGGCAGAGGGATCAACGGTGGCGCCAAATAACTAACACTGAGGATGCTAAAGATACTTCCGTTAATAATTTAGTTTCTGTTGCAAAAAGTAAGTTCAGGAATTGTTATGGAATATTTCTTTATAGTTTGGTAAACATATCATGCCTTTTGGAGTCAGACCCACTTAGCTCTGCAATGTATTAAGTTATTCATTATATACAAATCACTTCATCTACCTTATTGTTACTTTTCTGTAAAATAGGGTAATAGCACCTACTTATTTAATTTGTTGAACTACATAAATAAAATAATACACATGAAATTGCCTAACCTGTTACCTGACATACAGTCATTTTTCAAATGCTAGTTTCTTCCCTACTTGGCTTATACAACATCTGCCCTGTGTCAGGAACTGACGTAGAATGTAGTGCTGAATAAAATATACACAACTCTTCCCTTGCAGAGCTTGTAGCCTAGTCGGGGAGACAACCATTAACCAAATTATTATGATAGAAACTCTTGAAAATGCTGTGAAAGAAGAATGCAAAGAGGGATAGATTTTTGAGTGAGATGACTTACTCAGTGTTTGGAAGGAAGGTGAGGCCAGAGGAGGTTTCTCTCTGAGGAAACCAGCTTAGGCTTGCAGTGCAAAGATCTAACAGAAGTTCCTTTGGCAGAAGTTGGGGAAGAGGGAGGAGACTCTTCCAGGATCTAGTATGATTTTGTAAAAGCCCAGAGTTGATGGGGCTTAGATTTTATTTATTTGAGAGAGAGAGAAACCCTAAGAGCGAGCATGAGTGGGGGGAGGGGCAGAGGGAAAGGGAGCAAGAATCTCAAGCAGACTCCTCATCCAGTGCAGAGCCCAACATCGAGCAGGGGCTCGACTCCATGACCCCAAGATCATGACCTGAGCCAAAACCAAGAGTCAGGCACTCAACCAACTGAGCTACCCAGGTGCCCCCAAAATTTTTTAAAATCTTGACTCAAAAGATTATAAATAACAGGGGCGCCTGGGTGGCTCAGTCGTTAAGCGTCTGCCTTTGACTCAAGTCATGATCCCAGGGTCCTGGGATCGAGCCCCGCATCGGGCTCCCTGCTCAGCAGGGGTCCTGCTTCTCCCTCTCCCACTCCCCCTGCTTGTGTTCCCTCTCTCGCTGTGTCTCTCTCTGTCAAATAAATAAATAAAATCTTTTAAAAAAAAGATTATAAATAACAATCAGATATTTCTCACACTGTTTTTTAGTTCTCCTTTCCAAGTTCTGTATAAGAGATCACTCTCATATTAGTGAGAAAGGTGAAGTGACACAGAACTCCCCCTACAGCAATGTTCCGTGAGCATGACCTAATCATACTTCCTAGAGGAGACAGGACTCTATTCCTCATTTATAACTGAGATTCTTGATAGGGATATCATTCAGCTACAAGTTTTCTTTTCTCTTTTTTTTTTTTTTAAAGATTTTATTTATTTATTTGAGAGAGAGAATGAGAGACAGCATGAGAAGGAGGTCAGAGGGAGACAAGTTTTCTTTTCTCAATTGTAATACAGAAAGAGGAGCTTCTTCTATTACATAACAGAAATATTACAAAGACACACACATGCAAGGTATATGTTTATTATTTCCCAGAATACCTCATGCTTTTGATTTTTTTCCCCTTTTGTAGCAGATAGAAATTACCTTCTTGAATGGAACTTTTCAGGCCTTGTGGGTTCCTGCTCAGGATCACTAGCAGACTTTCTCGAAGTCCATCATTTTCCACATTGTAACTTGGTAACAGGCCAAGAGTCTTGGCTTATGAGGTAGGAGTTTTCAAGTTTCTTGACACTATTTGTTCTATCATGTAATTAGGTTCTAAAACACTTGGAGTAAATGGAAAACTTGTTAAAGGCATTTTTTTAAACTGAAGAAAAGGGATTAATTATGTCATTTTAATTTCACGATATCATAATCATTTCTTTTTTAAAATGAAAGTTTTATTTTTTTTATTTTTAAAAGATTTTATTTATCTATTTGAGAGTGAGAGAACAAGAAAAAGCAGGAACAGTGGGGAGGGGAAGAAGGGAGAAGCAGACTCTCTGCTGGGCAGGGAGCCCAACATGGGGCTCAATCCCAGGACCCCAAGATCATGACCCGAGCCAAAGGCAGATGCTTAACCAACAGAGCCACCCAGGCATCCCATAGTTATTTCTCTCTTGATAGAAGCTTAATAACAAATGCTTGTTTTTTTAAGCTATAAGTGCAATTTTTTATCACAAGCCAAAAAGAAGAAATTGGGTGACAGGAACTGATGAAAACACACCCGAGTCTTGGGCAACTTGACGGAATGAACAAGTATCATTAAAATCTGTTATTTGAATAATTAAACATGAGATTGAAAAAGATGGCAAAAGAAACACAAAATCCAAACTACAACTGCAGAGGTGAATTAAATAGAGGCCCAAGTAGCCGTGAAGTAGCCTACCATACAAAGAAAACACCTATACATAAAAAATATTTCCCTACAGACAGGCAGTTGGCAATGCTCTATAGAACTGTGGATTCTTGAAACAAAAATTGTGTTCTATAGTTATTAAGTGTTATATTTATGAGTTGTGGAAGATCACATGGGAAAAAATATCACTCTTTTCCTTTCAGAGTGTGATGCCTAAGGCTTCCATTTCCTCCTTGAACATGGCCTTGTGAACTGGACTGTGATATGCAGATTTACTAACCAACACCTTCCCGACTCAAGGTGGGTCTAGGAAAGGCACTGCCAGTTTTGGCTTCTGTGACTTATACCATGCTTCCATGACCTACCAAAATCCTCTTCCTTAACTGGTGCATTAGTTTTTATTGTTGTTGTTGTTATTGTTGCATTAATGTCTTTAACAATTACAGTCCAGTCCTCTAAGATTTTGCTATAATCAATTTTTAATGTATTTTTTCTTGATGGTTATCTTTAAAAAGTTAATATAGGTCTATCCTGGGTTCTATGAATGAAGATCTTAGAACTAAGTACTGACACTTCATTTTTATGCCTTTATCAGTGTTGTGTTTGTAACTGTGTTGGGTTCAATTTGTATTATTTTTAACTGTCGTGAGCTAAGGAGAAATGGACAGGGATAGACTTAAGGCAAAAAAAAAAGTGCTTTGGGGGGCCAAGTAAAAGCCAAATGCCATATGTTACTTATACTCATGAAGATTTCATAGTAATTTGAATAAAAAAGGAGGCAAGAAAATTGTATTATTATGTGGTATAAAGCAGTACAGACATGGTGAATTTCAAAGAATCAGTCCTGTAACAGGAGTCAATGCATGTTGTAGGCAATAGTTTCAGCAAAAAGACTATTATACTAAGGTTGTTAATTTGAAGTTTTTTATATTTAATTTGTAAAATTAAAAAATAATTTATAAGAATTTTAAATTACATATATGTATGTATACATATGGAGTTTTACTTAGGTCTGTACATTAAATAACATTATAATAAAAGTAATTTAAGTCAGCACTGGGATCAGAGAATTTGTCTTTCATAAACTGTCACTATTTTATTCAATTTTGATAAACCTGTTTTATATCAAACCTCACACCCATTGCTGGAATTATCCCATAGACAGGGCACTTGTAACTATTTGTTTTACTATTGGACAGCTCTGATGACTAGAAAGTTTAATTTTTATTGTTTGCTGATATTACATTTCCTTTAAGTTCCAATCATTGGTAGTAGTTACATTTAAGAACATATCAATTCTGTTCTCTCTTTTGTGGGAACTTTAAGTTATAGGAGGATAACTATCATGTTTTTTCCAGAGTCTTGCTTTCACAATATTTTTGAGAACTTACTTTGGCCAAAACATTGTGCATAAGCCATGTTTTGCCTTTCCAGCTTAAACAGCTACACTCCTTCTAACCTTTCCTTGAAACATATTTTCCCCCTAATTACTGTAATTTATACAAACTCTAGCCATGTCCTTGTCACAATGTGGCACCGAAAAATAAACATATACAAAATGGAGAATTTTATTCAATTTCACCAATAATAAAGATAGGAATTATTAAATTCAACAATGTATTAAGCACTAATGGAGGCAGGTACAGAAGTAAATGGCACACTATTCTTGCCTTCCAAGAGTTTTGAATCTAGTTGAAAATAAAGATCATGAGTTTAGATAATATTAAATTATAAAAATAAGCATTGTAGGAGTTCAGATGATTCAGAAAACTGAGTTCTAGATCTTTACTCGATGTTTCTATGTTCTAACTAGGGTTGTCTTGATAACTGCATTGGGTCTGAATATTACCAGTGTAAACAAGTACCAAATGCTTTGCCCAAAGTAGCATAAATATCGGTAGAGCCAAAATGGAACCCAGGTTTCTTGGTTCCTTGTCTAGTCCTTTCTCCACTCTTTACAGCACAGAGTAAATCTTTCCTTGAGATAGCAAATTAGTGATTAAATCTGCAATTTTCCGGAAGGCCACTGGAAATAAAACTTGGCAAAATTCTAATTCTTGTGACTGCTGCTGTTTAGCTTGCAACCAGTGAAGACTGAGTCGAATTTTCTTTCGATTTTTTAGGAACAGCTCAGGCTCAAACGACAGCTTTACTTAAAAAAAAAAAAAAAAAAAAAAAAAGCTCTCTTAAGACATGAAAAACACAGGAAGCCTGGAATGTAACCAGATAGGCTGTATTTCCGGAATCCTACCCTTAAGCAATATGTTGGGCTCCTTTTGCACATGCGCAGAAGGAAAAGTTGGGCGGGGAGTTCCGCTGCGTCGGGTCGCGCTCCGGGCAGGGATTGGTGGCACCAAGCGTGAGAGGCGGAACCGGAAGCGCCTGTGTTGTGAGGCTCAGCCTGTTCGCTCCCGGTGACTTTCCAACGCTTTGCTTCTAGCAGTTGGTGCCGGTTTTGCAGAGGGTGCCATGGGGGAAGCGGAGAAGTTTCACTACATCTACAGTTGTGACCTGGACATCAACGTGCAGCTTAAGATGTAAGAGAATCGGGACAGTGATTGGGATTGCTGGGACTTAGGGACGCTGAGACGGGGGGGAGAAGATGGTTATTAATTAGCCTGAAGGCGGTCCTGGGGGTGGCTGGGAGGGCTGTAGCCAGCGAAGCGGAGGAGAACCGGAGCATAGAGAGGGGGGGCCTTGTGAAAGGATTGAGGACTAGGTCTCTGGGAGAAGGATAGCAGTAGGAATATGCCCTTAAGTCCCACGGTGTTTTACTTTCTTCAAAGCATTTTGCTGCTGACAGCAACCTTTTGAAGGTTTTTACATTTTACAGATTAAGAAGTCAAGTCTCAGTAAAGTTGCCCTCCCGCCATTAATAGTTGGAAGATCTTTACTTTAGAACAGGCTGGCAGGTGGAATGGAGGCTACAGATATTATGGAGAGCTGATCTGGTAGTTGAGAATAAGATGAGTACATGGATACAGTATTAGAATCACGGGAGGTGATGGAAGCTTAGGTTGAATCTTGGGACAGTGTGGCTTTGTTTACCCAGGGAAGTTGGGAGTCAGTCAAAGATGAGGGTGCCAATTGGAAAGGGACCAGAAGATAAGAGGAAAGGCCTTGCAGGAAGATCTTGGAGCATCACAGTTGAAGTAAAGGCCAAGAGCATGACATCTTGAGATGAGATTAATGGACTGGAGATTGGGGATGGGTAGGACTTAGTTGGAAATTATGTCCATTTTAAGGCAGTCTTATAGAAGTGTTTTCATATGTGAAATCTATCACAGATTATGAATCATATCATCATTCATAATATGTTTAGTCAATATTCATCTAATGTGCCTCTGGCAGAGGGCTGCATACATGCAGTGAATACATTTTCTCAGTTGTCAGATGCATCTTTAAAGGATTGTTTTATTTTCAGAAGTTACTTACTTCAGACTCTGACAAATCTTTTACTATCCATTTTGTGGTGATAGTAAAAATAGTATTTCAACAACTAAACTATACTTGTGTAAAATAATTTACACACCCATTTCAGAAAATTTCTACAGCATGTGGCACTAGATGCTTATATAGGACTGTATTACTGTCATTTGGTAAAGGGCTCTCCTTCAGTTTCATTCCTCTCAGTATTTCTTGGACATATGAATGATTTTTTTTTTGAAACTTTTGAACCTTAGAAGGAAAGAAGAAAAGTAAAAAACACTGGTCTGTCATTAACACACACACACACACACACACACACATTGGGTATTTTGAGGCAAAGTTAAAGCGTAAATTAGAAGTTTGGCAAAATTCAGTACTTAACCATCTTTTAGCTTCTGAGACTGCCATTGTTGATCACTGGGGGCAGGAAGTATCAACTTAGAATCGTATAATGAGAGGGGTGCCTGGGTGGCTCAGATGGTTAAGCATCTGCCTTCAGCTCAGGTCACGATCTCCAGGTCCTGGGATCGAGCCCCATGTCGGGCTCCCAACTCAGCTGGGAGTCTGCCTCTCCCTCTCCCTCTGCCTCTCCCCTTGCTTGTGCTCTCTCTGTCTCTCTCTCTGAAATGAATAAATAAAATCTTTAAAGAAAGAAAAGAATCATATAATGAGAGAATAATGAATTCTTTAATTCAATTTATTCTCCCCAGGCTTTTAGTTTATTGTGACAGTTTTAATAACAAGTTGCACTTTGATGTCTCTTTTCTTACACCGTAACCAGATATCAAACTTCCTGCAAGACATGGTCACTTTGGATGTGCCGAAGCAACTTGTCTGAGACTGGTACATCATTAGCCTACCCCTCTGATTCTGATCTTCCTGTATTGTGTCACTTATTTTGGTGATTGTTGGCATCATTCATCGAGTTGGTTAAGACAGGAAACTTTGAGTTCTGCACACACCCCTCTCTTACCTTCTTTGTTTAATCATTTACAAATTTTCTTGAATCTACCTTCATATCTTTGATCCATGCCCCCTTTTTTACCCCACAACCCTGGCCTTAGTCTACCTTTTTCCTTTTTAATGTGGACTGAAAGTCTTCTAACTGCTTTCAGTCCTTCCTCTCCATTATGTTTTATACTCCTGCCAAAAGTACAAATCTGATTACATTACTCTCACTTCAAATAATTTAAAAGATTTTTGAATGTTCACTTTGTGTCAGGCACTGTACTGAATATGGTGGCTACTAGCTTCATTTTCTACCTACTTTTCATTCTCATCTTTAGCTTCTTTACCCCATGAGCTTTATGCTTTAGCTATACCAAACAACTTGTAGTTTCCCAACACATACCTTCTTGCTTCTTTGCATCTGCATATAGTATTCTTTTCGTCTGGGACAACTCCCTACTGTTTTGGCTCTCATCACCCATATATTGTTTGGGCTCATTTCCGGCATCATTCTGGGATACTAAGCTCTTGGCTCCCAAGCAAGTTTACATGCTCCTGAGACATTTTGGTATGTCTTTCTGTAGTAGGAAGGAAGGACCTTAGCTTTGGCTTCTTTATTATTATTATTATTTTTTTGATTTTATTTATTT